GGGGTTGGTGTGTGGGAGTTAGTGAGACTGGCTCCAGACAAGAAAGGGTTCAGAGCTGCTGCACCTAGGGTCACTATGCATCGCAGGTAACTCAATGGCACATAACAACAGTAACATACTGTGACTTTTTAGGAAGCAGGAGTGGCATCCACTTCCTAAATAACATGCCTCCAGAAACTCTGTGAACATTGATAAATGTTGATAGTTGTAGAGGGACTTCAGGCCTTTTGTTCATAGGATTGCTGAGTTGTGCTCAACTTGAAGCAAACAACAACAACAACAATATCATGCAAGGAAGGACTGTTGTTGTTGTTGTTATTATTATTCATATATACACTCCTACCTCTAGAGAAAAAGAGGAAGAAATTGAACATTTTTACCAAATCTTGCAGTCTGAAATTGACTGAACAAGCAGTCAAGATGCATTCATGATAACCGGTGACTGGAATGCAAAAGTTGGATACAGTGAAGAAGGAGTAGTAGTAGAAATATATGGGCTTGGTGATAGAAATAGGGCTGGAAATAGAATGATTGAATATTGTATTTTCAATGATTTATTCATTGCAAATACCTTTTTAAAAGACACAAATGATGACTTTGTACATGGATCTCACCAGATGAGCTGCATAGGAATCAGATAGATTACATTTGTGGAAGTAATTGTTAGAGAAGCTTAATATGGACAGTCAAAACTAGGCCGGGGCAGACTGTGCATCAGACTCATGTGCAAGTTCAAATTGAGGCTGAAGAAAATGAAAAGAAATCCGCGAGAACCAAGATATGATCTTGAATCGATACCATCTGAGTTTCAAGTTCATCTTAAGAATAGATTTGAAGCATTTAACACCAGTGATCAAAGACCAAAGGAGATTTGGGATGATATCAAGAGTATTGTTTGTGAAGAAAGCAGAAAGTCATTATAAAAACAGAGGAAGTAGACAAAACCAAGATGGATGTCAGAAGAGACCCTAAAAACTTGCACCAGAGCATCGAGAAGCCAACACAAAGGGGAAACATGCCAAAGTAAAAGAGCTGAACAGAAGATTTCAAAGGCCAGCTAAGGAAGACAAAGCGAAGTATCATAATCGAATGTGCAGAGAGCTGGAAGTGGAGAATAAAAAGGGAAAACTTGCTCTGTGTGTCTCAGGCTGAGTAAACGGAAAAAGAAATTTAATCCTTGAGTGGCAATATTGAAACATGCTATGGACAATTTATTAAATGACGCAGAAAACATCAAAGAAGATGGAGGGAATGCGTAGAATTACTGTACCAAAAACAACTATCTGACACTCAAAAGTTTCAATAAGTATCATAGGACCAGGAGCCAGTGGTAATGAAGGAAGAAGCTGAAGCTGCGTAAGAGGCATTGGCAAAAAATAAGGCCCAGGAATTGATTTGTTTCAGTTAACAAATGCAACATTGGACAGGCTCAAGTGTCTGTGCCAGGAAATTTGGAGGACAGCTGTCTGGCTAGCACATTGGAAGAGGTTCATATTTGTTCCCATTCCCAAGAAAGCTGATCTAACAGAATGTGGAAACAGTCAAACATTATTTAATATCACTCGTAAGCAAAATCCTGCCAAAGATCATTCAAAAATGGTTAGAACAGTTTCTAGATAGGGATCTGAAAGAAGTTCAAGCAGGATTTAGAAGTGGCTGTGGTACCAGTGACATCTTTGTTGATGTCAGATAGACCCTGGCTGAAAGTAAAGAATAGCAGAAGAACATCTGTTCGTGCTTTATTGACTTTGCAAAGGCATTTGACTGTGTGGCTCTAACAAGTTGTGGCTGACATTGAGAAGAATGGGAATCTCAGAGCACTTAATTGTGCTCATGTGAAACCTATACCTGGACCAGGAACAGAGGAAAGCAACACTACATAGTTTAAAATTAGGAAGGGAGTGTGCCAGGGTTTATTTTCTCTCCATACTTATTCCATAGCAACCCTATGAACAATAAATCTAAGCCCTGCCCTACCCTATGCCATCCTTTCTATCTCTGACACTCGAGCCCACCATTAGTCACTGTGTCAATCCGTCTCATTGAGGTACTTCCCCTCCTTCACTGATCTTCCACCTTTCCAGGCATGATGACCTTCTTCAAGGAGTGGTTGCTCACTATCCTTGCCTCTAAGGGACACTGTAGCCGCACCTTTTCCAAGACATACTTATTTATCCTTTCGTCAGTTCATGGGATAGTCAGTACTCTTCTTCCGTTCCCCAACTTAAAGTCATCGATTCTTCTTTCATCCTTTGTCATAGTATAGTTCTGACGTGCAAATCAAGTTATTGAAAAGACTATGACTTGAATGAGTTGCATTTTATTCTTCAAACGGACAACTTTGCTTTTCAGCATTTTGCAGTATGTCTTATTTCCAGGCTGCTGGTGTCAAGAGTGTTGATTGCGGATCCATGTACGATGAAGTCTTTGACAATTTCTGTCATTTCTCCATCTTGTCATGAGGTTGCCTGTTTGCCCAGCGGTGAGAGTTTTTGTTTTCTTGGTGTCAAGATGTAACCCACATTGAAGGTGTAGTCTTTGATACTCTTCAGGAAGCATTTCAAGTCTTCCTCACCTTCAGCACATAGTAGCCTATATGAAATAGCACATTGGCGTAAGAGATATTTATCTCAAAAGTGGAATGAATTTTAATCTTACCACACTTAGATCTCATATGATCATATTATTTTAATAGAGAATATTTTACTGTTCTATTTCCACTTTTTTGTGTGTTGTGTGTTAATATTTGGAGCCAGTTTAGAGGCTCATGTGTGAAGCAGTTGGATTATGAAAGGAAGATAAGGTTCTCTTAATTTAGTTGAAAGTCAGGTGTAAGCTATTGGGTCATGTTTTTTTTGTTTCATTGGTGTGTAAGTTGATTGGTTGCTTGGATTTAGTCAACAATCAGCTATGGGCCGGAAACCTCTTGTTTAAGTCAATCAGGACATGGTAGGTGGGTCTTGAAAAGTTGGTTGGGCCCTGACTAGGTCTCCACTTTGGAGGCTCATGTGTGAAGCAACTGACGTGTGAAGCTGTTAATTGTGTTTGGAAAGAACATTGTTCTAAGTGGTATAGCATTTGTCAGTTTGCTGTACTGAGGTAACTTGGGGTTGCTGTGATACTGAATGCTTTGCCACTGGTGTGTCAAATGCCATAATGGTTGCCCTTGGTGGATAGTGTTTGGTAGAGCTTCCAGATTAAGACAGACTTGGAAGCAGGATTGGCATCCACTTCTTAAACAGCAGGCCTTTGGAAACCCTATGAACATTAGAGAAGTGACAATAGTTATAGAACAGGGTTCAGATCTTTTGTTCATAGGGTCACTGTGAGTCATTCTCAACTTGATGGCACTTAACAACAGCATTTCTGAGTTTTAGTGTATTGTGTGTTAGTGTTTGTTAATTCAATTGATCTTAATAAATTTAGCTGTTGGGAAACTAATGAAGTCCCAGTTGGATCCTCTTAAAAGTGATGCTTCTCCCCAGTTTCCGCCGGTGCCCGCTGGCACCATGTTCATGTGGACTGACCAGAGTCCGCGAATTTTCCACTCTGAGTCCTCCCGGACAACCCCAATCCCAGTTTTTTATCCTCTGAGAACACTAAGAAGAATGTCCCTGCATCAGTTTTTGCTTGAGCCAGTCACCTGCCATGCCTGGAATCGGGATCGCACCCAGATTGCCCTGAGCCCCAGTAATCACAAAGTCCACATCTATAAGAACGGGAGCCAATGGGTGAAAGCTCATGAGCTCAAGGAGCAAGAGGGGCACATCACAGGCCTTGTCTGGGCTCCCAGGAGTGAGCGCATCGTCACCTGTGGGGCAGGCCACACGTCTACATCTGGAGCCAGAAGGATGGCATCTGAAGCCCACCCTGTTGATCCTGCGGGTCAGCCGGCCAGCCACGTTCGTGAAGCGGTCCCCGCTGGAGAACACGTTCACCGTGGGCAGTGGGGCCCGGCTCACCTCCGTCTGCTACTTGGAGTCTTAAAACGACCGGTGGGTCAGCAGCACGTTAAGAAGCCCGTCCGCTCCACGGTCCTCAGCGTGATGGCATCCCAACAGCTTCTGCTGGCCGCAGGCTCCGGGACTTCAAGTGCAAGGTGCTTTCTGCCTGCATTAAAGAAGTGGATGAAAAGCCAGCCAGGACGCCGTGGGCCAGCTGATGTCCGAGTTTGGTGGCAGTGGCCCCAGGGGCTGGTCCACGGCGTCAGCATTTCGGCCAGCGGGAGCCGCCGGGCCTGGGTCAGCCACGACAGCACTGTGGGGAGCCGAGGCCCCCAAAAGCGCGCAGGTCTCCCCTCTAGACGGAGTTCCTGACCCTCCTGAGCATGGCATTTGTGTTGGAGAACAGCGTCGTGGCAGCTGGCCATGACTGCTGCCCGATGCTCTTCAACTGTGACGGCCGTGGCTGTTTGACCTTCGTCTCCAAACTGAACATTCCGAAACAGAGCATCCAGCGCGACGTGTCGGCCATGGAGCGCCACCGCCAATGGACCAGCGGACCCCACCGAGGACCGCGACACGGCTTTGGAGACGCTGCACCAGAACAGCATCACACAGGTGGACAAGCAAGACTGCCATGAATTCTGCAGTACTGGCATCGATGGAGCCATGACAATTTGGGATTTCAAGACCTTGGAGGTTTCCATCCAGGGCCTCCTAATATATGTGAAGCTGAGCAAACCTCGGAGACTGAGCCAGCATGGCCAGCTGCAGCTGCCTGCCTCCCCGCCCGCAAGAAACACTGAAAACACCACGGTGGAGATGCTTCTCTGTGTGTGTGCGGGTGATGTGTGTGAAAATAGAATTGTGAAAGTGTTGATATTTTGAAAACAGCAAAGATTTATCCCCCTGGCCTATTTCATTCCATTTTTTGATCAAAGCTTCTCTTTAAAACAATTGATATTAGAAAATTGCCATACTGACCTAAAGGAAGGGGGCAGGCATGTAAATAATGGCTAGAAAATGGAATAAAAATACTAAATGTGAAAAAAAAAAGTGATGCTTAGGTAACTAAGGAAATATAATTTCACCACTGAACATATTTTTAAAAAAAAAAAAAGAGCCTCAATGAATTAGGTCCTTAACCCCAAGTCAAGTTCTCTTTAGGGGGGAAAAACTGTCACTGGGACTTCTTTGGACTGTTACATAAATTTGTACAATATCACAGAAAAGCAACACAAAGTCAAGCTTTACTCTCCAAATTCTAATAGGGTTATCTCATTTTCCTCTTTAAACATTTATTTATCCATTACCTAAATTGTATAGGGGCTCATGAGGGCAAAGGAAGTAGAAATAGCTGAGGGAGTGCTGATTGTGCCTTGATAAAAGGGGAAGGGAAGGTCCTAATTAAAGGAAATAATTACTGAATACTTTCTGTGGCAGAGCAGAGTGCCATTTTGGTGGAAGCCAGAGCTCTTATTCTCCATCCGTTTACGTGCTAGAAAGGTGAAAACATTCTCCGGAAGAAGTAGTAATTACAGAGTGACATAGCAATTAATTACAGAGTGACACAGCAATTGAAAAACATTTTCCATTGTTGGATTTAGTGAACTATGATACACTTCATCTCTTACACATCTTTTACTTAAAAGGAAAAAAATTGAAAACATAAAATATGTTAATGAATGTATCAGCTATTATAACAGTAATCACAGTGATAATTATATGTTGTCATGACATTTTCTGTCTCATAAAATGTAACTTTCTTTTCAGTATTCCTGTCTTTATGTGGAAAGAAATTTATTCAAATTTTAACAGTTCCATTCCTTATGAAATTTCAATATCACAGTGCAAGTCAATTATAATGTACTTCTTTTCATAAATATGCTGGTTCATCAGTTCAAATGCACTGCTTAAAATGTGAAGCACTTATTTTTCTTACATAAATCACATCAAACATGGGATAATTGTAGGTTAGTATATCTCGACAGGATCTAACTTAAAACAACCTAGTTGTTCTTCAGGCCTAGAGTACTTCCAATTATTTTCTATGAAGTAAATATTTAGAATATAAAATTGAGGAAAGGACACAGATCTCATCATAAGAATGTGTTAATGACAAGATAGGAAATAACTAGTAATAATTTACAACAGTATAAGGAAAATGTTTTCTGTATCTGTTAAACAGTTTCTCAAAGCCAAACAGCATGAAATGAATGCAAGTCCTGCTAACAGATCATTTTTCTAATGTTCTTATTCTCCACCCCCTTCATTCCTAGATTGAAAAAGAAAAAACAAGCCAAGCAAAATGCAGAGACAGGGTCAGCTGCAGCTCCTAGGAGTCAGACTGGAAAAGACGATGCTAATACGTTCATTTCAGAACAAGACAAGTGCAACATCGCTGCAGAAGAGGAGGAATATATGGCCGATGAGAAAAAGAAGAGAAAAAACAATCAGTTAAAGGAGATCCGACGGACAGAATTGAAGAGATACTACAGTGTTGGTAAGTCTTGGTGATCATGACTGCAGCATTTTTATTTCTAATCTACAGACCTTTAAAAGAGTATATCCTATAAATTAGTAACAGCAACCATTCATTGTGATTTACTGTCTCTGAAAAGCCTTTGGAGGGTCAACTATGGGTCGTTTCCGACATGACAGCAAACAGCAGCAGCGAGTACGAAAGGTACTTGAGTTATGTAAACAATCTTGTGTATAAGGATGATGACAGAATATTTGTGTTTGTTTCTCTTGTGTACGAATGTTGTCCACATATAGCACAGTGCACAGTGCCTCCTGTGAGCGTAAACGTTTATCAAATGAATAGTCGCTTTACCTATATGAGAAATACGTTATTATTTCATAATGTGTGTAGACATGAACATAGAAAGGTTAATAGAAATGCCTGTGCTGTTTTTAGCATCCGCCAAGTGATAGGTAATGAAGATGACAAGGCTATGCATCTGTCAGTTAAGAAAAAAAACAGATTGGCAAGCTCTGGTGGCCTAGTGGCAAGAAACTACACTGCAATCTCAGAGGTGAGCGGTTCAAATCCACCAGATGCTCTGCTGGAGAAGGAGGAACAATCTCCTCCTGTACCTGTCAGACCCGATTTGATGGTACACACACACAAAATAATAAAAATAAGGTAAATAACAAAAAATTTCTAGAAAAAGGAAAAAGCGGACTTTGCCAAACTGAATTGTTGTAGTTATATAGACTTTTACAGTGAATTGCCATTGCATCCGAAACGCCTCATTTAAAATGATGAAGATGTTAATTGCACTTCACTGGTCTCATGCATCTGATGGGTGTCTTTCCTGTCGCATATGAGCTTGGAGTGTGTTTATAAAGACATGCAAAGAGAGAGTGGTAGATGTTGGTAAGTGTCATCAAGCCCATCCCAACTCACAGTGACACTGTGTATGACAGTATAATATTGCCTGGTTCTGCACTATCCCCACTTTTGTTGCTATATCTGAACCTGTTGTTACAAACACTGTGTCACTCCATCTTATTGATGATCATCTTTTATGGTTGACCTTCTAATTTACCAAGCACAGTGTCCTCTCCAGATAGCATACTGGTCCTTCAAGATAACATCTCCAAAGTACAGGAGACAAAAATCTTGTTATATTTACTCTTAAGGAGCATTGTGTTGAACTTTGAACAGTAGTTTATTCGTTTTCCTGGCAGGCGCTGGTGCAGGTGGTCCCTAGGCTATGAACACCCGGCTTACAGATACCTATCTCCTACTTGCCCTTTAATGTTATGTAAATGAACTAAACCCTATTTGCAACAATTTTTGTTCATCATAGTCACTTTTACTTGTTATGTGTACAGCTTTTAAGTAATAGGAAAGCCTTGAACCTTGCTCTCAAACCAACCCAGCCCAAACCCACTACCTTCGGATTGGTTCCAACTCATAGTGTCTCTCCATCTAGTTTCTGAGGCTGTAACCCTTTACAGGAAAAGAGTACGCATCTTTTTCCTTCAGAGCAGAAGGTAGATTTAGACTCACACTTCTGACCTTTTTGTTACCTGCTTTATTCTTATGAATCATTTACACCTGTTCGAGGTTACTTATATATTCTTAAAGATATATTGTTGTTGTTGTGCCATCAAGTCTCCTGTGACTCTGAGTGACCCTATACAGAGTAGCTCTGAACCCTGTCCTCTCCTGAGCCAGTCTCACTATCTCCAACACACCAACTCCATTACCTCATTTACTGTGTCAATCCATCTCATCCAAAGTCTTCCTCTACTGTGCTGTCCCTCCATGCCTACAACCATGGATGTCCTTCTCCAAGAACTGGTCCCTCCTGACAACATGCCAGAAGTATGTGAGAAGGAACTTCAAAATCCTTTTCTCCAAGGAGCAAATTGGTTTCACCCTGGCCAAGACAGACTTGTTTGTTCCCTTGGCAGTCCATGGGATATTCAGTGCTATTCTCCAGCATCAAAACTCAAAGGCATCAATACTGCTGTCATCATTACTCATTGTCCAGCTCTCAGTGTCAGGGTCCTGCTCAGTTTCAGCAAGCAAGCTTGTGTCATCTGTATAAGGCAGGTTGTTGATAAATCCTCCAGTCCTGATGCCACATTCCTCCTCATAAAGTCCAGCTTCCCGAATGATCTGTTCTGCACATAGATTGAAGGGGTATGAAGATAGGATGAATCCTTGACACACTCCTTTCCTGATTTTGCACCATGCATTGTTTAAAAATGGATATATTTTTGTACCCCGGGCACAGTATATTCTATATTCTTGACCAACCCTGTAATACCTATGCACTGTTCACCTTTGACATGCATGTGAAATGATTGGAAATACCTGGGACAGGCACACCTTGGTTTTTAAAGTGACATCTTGCCAAGGGCAATACATCATTTAATTTCTTAACTGCTGCCATGGGATCCAAGTAAAATGAAATCTTTAGCATTTTCAGTCTTTTTTCCACTTATTAAGATTTTATTTATTGGTTCAGTTGTGAGAATTTCTTTCTTTATATTGACGCGTTGAAATCGATAGCCTTTGATCTTTATAATTAAGCACTTCAAATCATCCTTTTAAAAAAAGCACACAAAAACCACAAACCAATGTTGTGTCATCTCAATTTAGGAGTTTTCCTTCAATTGTGATGCCACATTCTTCTTCATTTTGTCCAAATATTCACATTATTTGCTCAGCATACAAATTGAATACATACCATAGAAGAATAAAACTTTGGGGGACCCTGTTCCAGCTTTCCAGTTATGAGGTATCCCTTTGTTCTGCTTAAACAACTTGGTCTATGTTCAAGTTCCATATAATCACAATTAATTGTTCTGGTATTCTCATTCTGCAAATGTTTACCATAATTTGAATAATTAAAACAGTTTAATGCCTTTGTATAGTCAATTAGACACAGTCATTGTTCTCTCATTCTCTGCTCTCAGCCAAGATATTAGTGAAGGGTAAATTCTTTACCATCAAGTTGAGTCTGACTCAGTGACTGTAGCACAGAGTAGATGGGCCTCATAGGGTTTCCAAAGCTGAATGTTTTCTTTTGAGAGCAGGCTGCCTCATCTTTCTTGCAAAGAACACCTAGCAGATTGAACATTGACCAATTGGCTAGACACCCAGCACTTTAACCACTGTACCACTAGTGCTCTAGCGAAGGGTACCAGGAGTCAAAATTTAATGTAGCCCAGGAATTCCACTACTGGGAATATACCCCAAAGAGACCATAACTGGCATCCAAGCAGATATATGCATACCCATGTTTATCGCGGCTTTGTTCACAATAGCAAGGAGATGGAAACAACACAAGTGCCTATCAACAAACGAATGGATAGAGAAGCTGTGGTATATTCACACAGTGGAATACTACGCTGCATTGAAAAACAAGGAACTCATGCTATATTATTCAAAATGGGTGACCCTGGAGGACATTATGTCACAAAAGGACAAATACTGTATGGTGCCAGTGTTGTAAAACAGGACTGACCTCGGGGTTGGGGGAGACTGAGAAAGATGGGTTCAATAATGTATACTGCATTGAAACAGATGAGAGAAAAAACTGTTTAAAAGGGATATGTGATTAGGTATTTTTGTCATGACAGGCATCTAGAGCGAAGGCTACATGGTGGAGTGAACCTGAGGGAGGGTTTGTGAAACAATGAAAGAATTTTTCTTTTACTTTTCCAAGAAGGTAGCGTACTAGGGGGAGGGTTGGGAGGGAAGAAAATTCCAACAGTGAATGAATGGAAATTCAAAGTCTCTGTGCAACCCTGTGAACAAAAGATCTGAACCCTGTTCTATCCTGTGTCATTCTCACACTTCCTGACACATTAGAGCCCATTGTGGCAGTTACTGTGCCAAACCCCCTGGCCCTCTCCACTGACCCTCCACCCTTCCTAGCATCATGTCCCTCTCCAAGGAATAGGCCCTCTTAGCAACATACCCAAAGTATGTGAGGTAAATCCTTATCATTCTTGCCTCCAAAGAGCACTCTGGCTGCACCCTCTTCAAGAGAGGGTGCAATGTGGCATATAGGTATAACATGTGCAGGATCGCTAGGCTATGGATCGATGAATGAAGGAATGGACCAGACAGAGATGAGGAGCCCTAAGAGCTTGACCTGTGAGAATATTAAATGTAAAATTTGACCTTGGGGTAGAATAATGCGACTCGTTCTTTTCAGCCCCACCCTTGACTCTGGTTATACTAAAGCTGAAATGAGATGGATTCCTTCCCCCCCCCCCTTTATGTTAAATAGAAGTTTCTAACTGCTCTTTTCAAAGATAAAAATGCTGCATAGGGCAGTACTGAGTGCTATACTTCTGATGGGTTCCAAGAGAGGGAAATGAAGTACCGTAACTGAAAACATGTGATTTTTAGCATTACAGTGTGTTAATATTACTATGTAGAATTTAATTTTTAAAATACCAAGAATGATTCATTGAAGTAACATTTGCTAACATAAAATGAACCATTTGAGAATAAACAGTTTAGTGTAATTTAGGTATTTTCAAAATATTGTACAACCACCATATCTAGTTCCAAAATATTCCATGATTCCGAAGTAAAAGCCCTCACCCATGAAACTGCTCCTCCCATTCCTTTTGACCTCTGCCTATTTAGAGCTTACTCATAGCAGAACCTCCAGTTCTGAGACTGGAAATTGCACAGAAGGAGATCTTTTTCACGTAGAGCAACTGGTAGATTTGAATCACTACAGAGGTACGGCTTTTGGATTAACTGCATAACTACCTATGGGTTACACTACCAGAATGATAATGATAACAACAGATTCTGAGAATTTCTTCAGGAAAGTCCAGTGCATAGACAAGTCTACTAGATAGGCCTTTGGGTTCTATTGCTGGATTGTCATTTCCAATTTCACTCCAGTTGACAAATGTTTTGGCAAGTTTACTTAATCTCACTGGATCTGATTTGAAAATTCTGATTATTTTCCCGAGATTTTGTTTCTTCCACTAGGTGGAGTGTCAGACATCGGG